AAGGCTCCAGGCGTTCTTGAGCATTTTGGTTCCAGCCTCCACTGGGCTTGGAGCTTGATTAATGCTCAAACTGAAAGGAAGGCAGCATGGGGCCTTTTGGTCTGTGGACTATCTTCTGTGCTGGTGCCGAAGGTTGTAGTGGAGGCAGCCTCTTTACAGTTCTTGAGATGCAGCAGATCAGGACAAGGGGCAATGGGCACAAACCGAAGCATAGGAAGTTCCGTCTGAACATGAGGAAGAACTTCTTCACTCTGAGGGTGACGGAGCACTGGAACAGGCTGCCCAGGGAGGTTGTGGAGTCTCCTTCTCTAGAGGTATTCAAGACCTGCCTGGACAAGGTCCTGTGCAATCCCGACCATTCTGTGATTCTGTGAGATCACCCATTTAGGAACAGAAAGCCTGGGTGGAAGAGGCCCTACCAGGACAGGGCATTTACACCCATTTACACCAAGGGTGGTTCTGATTGCGCCCTCTCCCAACACAACTGACTGCTGGCTGCATGTTAGCGTAAGATTTTTTGTTACTGAGTGAAGAACTTTATGCAAAAAATGTAGAATGTTCTAAAGTGTAATCAATAAACCCTACATATATATATATATAAACACCTATATATAAAAATCCTATATATGTGTATATATATATATATAAAGCACATATCCATTTTTCATGGCTATCACTTGTCTCTAGTTGGATCTTCTCCATGTCTTTGGAAGTTTCTTTCTAGTACAGATGCAAAGTCTTCCCAAAATTATATCAGTGCTCTGGTTGCTGTCTGAAAACACGGTTACTACAAAAGTTTGTCTACATTTTTCTCAGACAAGTGTCATCAGACAAGTATCCAATTTATTCCTCCAGAACCCCATGTATATTTATCCTAGGTTGACAGTAGTAATATATATGCAGAGATAACGCACACATTGTGCTCCAGCCCAGAAGGACCCAAACTACCAAGCTCAGTCCCTTATATGTAACCTGTTCTTTCGAGGTGACTGCTATTTAGGAAACTGTACTTGTCTCATCAATGTATGCACGTTTGTTCTAATTTATTAGAGTTCTCCTGTCAGACTCCCTACATTTTTAAAGGGAAGTAGAAGTGCACGTGGACTTTTGTCACTTTGGGAGATCTCTGTTTGTGTTGTGGGTTCCCCCCACCCCCATGCAGAGTGTGAAATGGAAACATTAAAATCAATAGAAACAAATGAAATGAAAAAAATATGCTTAAGGAAATATTTTTAGAATTTTTTCCAGACTATAGTGCTCTATTGCTGTGACATGAGTATTCAGCAGTGGATAACTTTATAATTGGCTTAAGGGACATTTAATAGCCTGTACATTTCCAGGGGGAATTGCCTAGACTGTAGTCAAGAGCTGTGATATCCCAAAGGGATATAGATGTGTCATTTTTCCAGTCTAACAATGCTTAGTCTTAATGTGGGAAGATCTTTCCACCTGAGGAAGAATACAATATATGCATAAATCAGCCAAAAACTACTGCTTCCTCCCCATACTGAGCTCACAATATAGTAATTACAATGTGTGGTGTAAATGTTTATTAGTAACAAGAGTTTTGATGCGTTATGATTATTTTCTTGAACGAGGAAAGTATATGGTGTTCAGATCTTTAAAATTCTTATTTAAAATGTTATCTTTAACATTTACTGCTAGTGACAAGATAATGTTATTTCTGAGAGGACAAATGATGAGAGCATGGAAAGTCTAGCCAGGTTTCAAGCACGTTAGAGGCGTCAGCTTTATGACTGAAAAGAGTGTTTACTCATAGATGTAACAGAAACTTCTCTGATTTGCACTAAGATCTTGCAGGAGCCAGGTGAGAGTTAGACAGTTTCATTATAAAGTAATAGTGCAGGGATGTATAAATATGTGGAAAGCAGACGCTCTTTGAAGCATCAATTACACTTGGGCCCAAACAAAGTCTTTGAGAAAGAAGTAAAATGAGGAAAAAGTAGGGGCTCTGAGATGCTTTTGGGTTTTTTTCTTTGAAAAAAGATTTTTTTCCCCCAGAGGACAAGTTATTAAACACCAGAGAATTAAGTAACATACAGATATACTGAAACAGGGTATAATCAACAAAAATGTCTGAACATCTGAATCACTGTTCATCTCTTCTGGGGTTTATTTATATTCTCAAAGAGCATTACTGTTCTGCATCAGAAACTGCTGTCTGCATATGGTCTTCAACTTCATCTGTTTCAATGTGGATGACGATTGTAAGGCTTTGTCATATAATTAGAAAATCAAAACCATTCTCAAAACTGCTTGGTCCAGATGTTTTGAGTGTGAGGAAATCACGCTAATAGAGTTCTTCAAAGCCAGAGGCTTCCCCCTTTGAATTCGCTGTTAGCAGGAGGGCCTTGCAGAACCTGGGGGACTTGTTTCACTGTGCACCCATGGTCAGGAGCCACACAGGCTGTTCTGCAGGTTTCATGCTGATGGTTGAGCTTTTGTGTTCTGGTGACTTACAGGGTGATGGGAAGTGGGAAGACAAGGCTTTGCTTCAGACTAGCGGGGAACATAACATTTGAAAAGAGCACCATGCACCTTCCATTTGTTGTGGACTTACATACAATAAATATTTAGTTGGAAATTCTTTAAGAACATCTACTCTGTAAGTTTCACATGATTATTACCAGTATGCAATAGCAAACCTTCGCTACCTACTCTCTGCAATTAAATTTATCTTTTTTTTTTTGGAGGGGGGGGCGGGGAGCGGTAAAAAGTCTTACTTCTTTGTTGTGCTGGGTAGGTCCAGGAAAAACAATGCAAACAAACACCAGTTCATTCTCTTTCAAAGCTGGGAAATTTTTAAGGAGAGTTCCTGAAGAGTACATACCAGCGTGGCTAGTTGGTCTTCTTCCAAAGTGCAGAACGTGACCAAGTAGTGTTGCTCTGCAGCAAAAACAGTATTGCAAACTTAGGGGTTTACTAGAAAACAACCAGACAGACGAGGCCCTGTTTAGCTGGGATCCAGTGAACAAGCTGGATTAAATTAGGGAAGAGAGAATATTGGAATAGTAATGGATACGCTGATGATGGGCCTGGAAATTAATGCAGTTTTGTCAACTTCTGATATTTTATGAAGATTCCTATACACAGTATTTAATTCAAAGCTGCAGTTTCTGGATACCGTCTGGAGACAAGCTATTCTGTGAGCTCTTCAGTTTTTGCCTTTCTCATCTTTGTGGGTACAGAATAAAAAGCATGGAAGCGTGACCTAAGTGCATGTTAAAAGCTGAAAGAAAGGCTTTTAAAATACTCTTGATCTGGACTAGTCACTTTACTGCTTGGCAAGCTTGACTTGCTTTTTTAACATTTGACATTGGTGACAAACATTAGACCTCACTGTAAAGATTGGTGCTGGTTTTGTGCAGAGTGTGTAGCCCTGTAGTTCATAGTATGTGTAACTGTATTTGCAGTATGGTTCTAATTTTCAGAAATGCATTGAGTGCTTGCTAGTACATGGCTATATCTGAGATCAAAGCTGAGCTTTTGGCTTGTGACTGAAGTAGGATTCAGTCTTTGTAGCAGGAACTTCCTGAGCTGATGGCATGTCAAAATGGCAGGAAAATGCAGTGGCTAATGGTTAGAGTGTTATATTAAAGGTAATTTTTATTTGGCACGCTGTGAGCAATATAGTAATTGGTGACTTACAAAGGCATCATGAAGAAAATAACACCATTCACTATGCAAGGCCTCTTTGAAGAAAGGGTTTGATGATTCCAGTGGAATGGAAAGGAGGTGGTTAATGTTTAGTCTAGTGTTTTATCTTGTATAGAATAACGAATCACCGGTTTTCAACACAGAGGAGTGTTTACAGGGATATATACTAAGGACAGCTATTGCTTGATGTAATAAATAGTCATAACTGGGTGAACAAGGTGCAAAATGGTTCTGAAAATGGCACAAATCATTTGGCTTTCTTCAGACAAAAGATGACTGAGAAATCGAACAACTAAATGAAGGGATAGCACAATGGGAAGCAAAATTCAGTAGTGACGGATGCTAATTTACATTGACAAGAGTTGTTTATAAATTGCTAATGAATATTGCTGAGTCCTGTTTGTTGATAACACCATGGCAGAGCTATAGTCAATGAAAATGCATGTAAGATAGCTAGAGCTATGTTGTGGAATTAGGCTGTTGACAATGTCACGAGATGCAATTTAACCCTGGAGTCTAGAAGGAATCGAGGAAGGCTCAGTGATAAGTACCTAATCAACTACATATTTTGTGGAATGTTAATATCCCCTTGTATGCTTTGTAGTGCCTAGAGTGATTTGCTGTCTTGGAAAACGAAAGTGTTGCCACAGATGGGTATTTTCTACTCCGATGTTTCATACAAATACTGACAGTTTTCTGAGACTGTGGAATAGTGAAGTCATTGGGCTGATCCAGTACAATAATTTTAAGTCAAAGACAACAAAACCTACCTCCGTTCATATTGGTGTGCAGGAAGTCAGTAAGCTATTTTGATGGTTTTGAGCAGTGCTGTCAAATATATTTGAGTAGATTAATGATGAGAGGGAAGATAAACTTTAAATACTACAAAATGAATTTCAAAAAAATGCACAAACAGATTAATTTGTAAATCTGATTAAGACGACCCTAGTGGAGAAGGAGTCTTCTGTGAATATATTTGTATTTTCTCTCCAAACTAAAATTAAAAAATGGAAAAGACAGTAATATTAATTATTAGTGTGTATAGAAATGTCTTGTATTACTAGTAGGACCCGGTGCCTTAGTAGCTGAATCGCTACGGAGTATTTTAGGAGGTCAAGAATTATGTTGTCCTACCCACGAAGAAGTTAGTAGGGTAGAGCGATGTTACATGTGATTTTTGCTTTCATAGTTATATTAGTTTAGTATGTATTCTTAATGTCACATCCTTTCCCCAATTACAAGTTGACTGCATTTTCTCATCCTGACTAAAATACATCTTAATTGCTAACTTTACCTTTGTTTTGTTTTGTTTTGTTTTCCAGTTTAAAAGAATGCTCAACCGGGAGCTAACCCACCTATCTGAAATGAGCAGGTCAGGCAATCAGGTCTCAGAATATATATCGAACACATTCTTAGGTAAGACTATGATTGGAGTTAACTTTTTTCCTTTTGTTTTTTAATCTTTCTCTGGGCTGTGATAGAGCTTAAAAGCAAGTAGTTTTCCCTATTAATTTCTGTTTCTAGAAACTATACGTTTAGTATCTCATCGTTCAGTATTTGAGCGCAGAGATCATGTTAGATCCATTTCCTCACAGCTCGTTAAGTTTGTGTGTGTGGTTTCACTGTGTGTGTAATTACAGATATAGATACATATACATAATTTCGTGTAACATTACAACTACTATGTTCCTACTGTATTAAGAAATTAATATATAATTAACTAATTATATATTAAAAAGGTTCTTCCACTCTGTTTCCCTTATGAATGTTACCACAAAGAGATTTCAGTGTGCTGGAAGAACACAAGCACAACGTCATAAAATCTTGTAGTACATGGTTCTTGTGCTTTGCTATTCCCTGCCTGCACATGAGCGGGTGAATGAATATGACTGAGTCAACATGTGAACAGACTGTTGCCTGGAGAATTTATGCGGCTCAAGAACTTGCATGGTATTAATAACTTTTTATTAAATTTTTTTATTAAAAAAACCCAACACAGTATTACAAAGTGTACGGTGGTTCTTCTGTGGCTTTGCAGAACTAAGAATATATTTTTTTTTCGTGAAAACTGGTGAAAATTAGTAACACTTAGTTCCATACTGTTGATTTTGAACATGAAGATAATACAGCAATCTGAAACATGCTTTGAATGAAACACCGTTGGTTCATAAAGACTGTACATGTAAGGGGAAGCACAGCTGAATACGTTTAAATTAGGATACAAGTGCTTTGAAGGGTGCTAGTCACACGTGTTAAGATACATCTTGTTTTATTTGTGTGAGAGGCCGTAGCTGGTGCTTCTTGTGTTTTTTGAAAGAAGCAAGTTTTTTTAGGTACATGTTATCCTGCGTGTCACCATATCCAAAACGAATTGCCTAATGTGTCTGTTCAGTGTCCCTGAGTGCTGCGGCACAGCAGAGTTACGGACAGTAAGAAAGTGGTGAGTCTCAGTCGTGGAGAAGCAGTATTGCACAGCTTCAGTCACACTGTACCGTTGCCTGAGAAGATGACCCACTTAGGCTGAAAAGAGTGAGATACCAGTGTCTGCTTGCTTTTGCTTGGAAACTTAAGACTCATTTTGACAGGATAAGGAAATGCATCTGTCAGCCTTTCTCAAGACCTCAGTCTTGGGCAGAAGGAGGGCTGCAAAGGCAATTGCTTCAAAGTTACTAGGTATTAGGTATTGTTTTATGGCTGCCTGAAAACCTAGGATACTTAAAATAGTAGGTATGAGAGGCATACAATGGGGAAAATACCTCATCTACAGAATTACTGCTTCAAAATATGCAGTCTAAGTATGTAGGTTCTGAGCAACAACGTGAAGAGGAAAAACATTCGCTTCATAGAAGATTTCAATGAATCTAGTTAGTTAATTTTTTTAATACATAATCTGTCTTCTGAACATCTACAGACTTTCTCACATTTGAGAGTTAGGAACAGGTCATAAGACAACAGGTTTTTCTGTTATTTTAAAAAAAAAAGGTAGGGACTGTTTTCCCAAGTAGGGTTATATGACATCTGTGAAGTTATTCGTAATGACAACAAATATATTCCTTGCGCAAGAATTAAGACCTCCTACATTGAGTTTAATAATGTGCAAGGTTTTTATTTTTCAGTGTCATTAACCTGTTTTCCTGTGAACGTAAAATGCAAGAGAACCTGCCAATGAGCATAGCACAACCAGGGTCAAGATGGCAAGCTGTCTTTTCTGGATGTTCAGATGGGCGCAGGATGCTTTGCCCTATGTGCTCATAGTTACAAAAGCAGAGGCAGTCCCGTGGAATTCCTCCGGAGATCTAAAGTCATTCAGACAGACACTTCCTTCCATTTGAGTTAGTCTGACAGCTCGGCTTACGAACCTCCCTTTGATGGGTCTAAACTTTGTGCATATGACCGAAACCGTAAACATCAAAGCACGAACACGAGTCACTGCTCCACATCTGTTGTCGGTTTGCACCAGTCAAGAGCTGCAGCAGTCCACCTCCCCCTTTTCGTGGTTGTCTGTATGAGGAAAATGGTGAAGTATGGTGGGGGCAGCTGGGGAACTGGGTGCCGCAGGCTAAAGCTTGGTGACATTTCCACGGTGTCTTCTTCGCTGTGATTTGTTTGGAATTATTCACCCCCCCTCAAAAAAAAAAAAAAAAAAGGAAATGGAAAAAAAAAGTAAGTGAAGAAGCAAACACAACAATTGCCCGTTTCTGGCAATTAGAAATGGGCTTGCTACCCTTGTCTGGTTTCAGTGTGTTTGTTTAAAACGACCATTTCAGGAAGTTAAAAAATAGACATGTTTTAAAGAGCTCAAATTTTCTTTCTTTTTTTTTGAATTTAATTTGTTCTAAGGTGCTTTTTAAATCATAGTTTTTGCTAAGCTCCCATGTTAGAATCATCTGTTCTGGATGTTCCTGGTTTTGCTGGAATATTGGGATTATAAAAGGTGCAGGTACATTTCAGCAAAGAAGAGATAATTTGGAGGGAGTCATTAAAAGACTATGTTGAAATACAGTATGAAAAGAACAAGTAATGCAAATTCCTAGCAATTTTGGCAGGAGAGACCTCTGTTGCACTAACTTGGATTTCTTTGGGGACCACAGATGTCTGTCTACACACCCCCATACTGTTCCTGCAGCAGTCAGCTGGCAGTGGCCTAAATATACTTTTACTCTCAGTTTAATCGTTGTCTGAAGTTTTGCTGGCACAGAAGTTGATGAGGTGTATGAAGTGATGCCGCTGATGCTGCTGTGGAAGTAAAAGCCCGCAGCAAAATGTTGTGTTTTAGCAAAACATCTCTGTTGTCGGTATTACTTCCTCTGGCTGGGAGGTACAGAAGTGCCCTGCACTGGTGGTGTGAACTGCCTCTCCATCCAACGTGCTGGTAGAAATGGCTGGCAAAAGGCTTTCTAAGTTGTGCAGTCTTAACACAAACAGGAGCAGTCCCCAAGTATTAGGTCCTTAGAGTCCTGAAAATGTTATGTAAAGGTTTACATGGGATACAGTTTTGATTTTTTTTAAAAAATACAATTTCAGAGAATGTTTTTCCCGGAAAAGAAGAAATTTTAAGTTTTCCTGCAAAATTGAAGTTTAGATTTCTGTTCAGTTGTAATAACATTTTTATAATGAAAGGACTGATTCTCTCTACAGCGCTAGGGGTGCAGGAGAAGTCGAAGTCAGACAGTCACAAGTCACATTTAAAGCCAGTTCAGAAATAATGAGGTAGTTTGTGAAATAGAGATCTGCTTATGCTGAGGTATAGGTCTATGCTTATCTTGTCATATTTTTGCTGCTTTTGATGTGAAGTATTTGTTGCAAAATCTCCAAACAAAAAAATCTTTGTTAACAATTACAGTATCCATAAGATGCAACTCAGCAGTGAAACGGACAGAAATATTTGTAGTTACTGTAAAAATTATTCTTTTTTTCTTCATTCTTTTGAAGACAAACAGCATGAAGTTGAAATCCCTTCTCCAACACAGAAAGAGAAAGAGAAAAAGAAGAGGCCAATGTCCCAGATCAGTGGAGTCAAAAAACTGATGCACAGCTCCAGCCTAACTAATTCTAGTATTCCCAGATTTGGAGTTAAAACAGACCAAGAAGATGTTCTTGCCAAGGTAGAGAATATAAAAGTCCTTTAATTTAAACCACTGAATTAAAATAGAGAGTGGACTTGTCAGTATTATTCCATCTTCTGCTTATAGCCCTTGATTTCAAGCTATAGCACCAAAGGCTGGTCTCACTTGAAATAGAATAAGTTCAGTAAAGTGGAAGAATAATATGTAAAATCATAATCAGGGCATAAGGGTTAATTTCCATGTGAATGGGGTTTCATCTGGAGGTGGAATGTAAATTAGCATTTGTGTATGCATTAATAAAGCTGCTTATTCATGAATAATATCTGAGGAATGAAGAGTAAACATAGCATACACTGTCACAGGAATGAAAATATGTAGCAGCCCTGTGTTTTTGAAAACGCACAACTGGTGTATAGCATTAGAGCTATACTTCTAGGGTCTGTCTTTACCTGTATCATTTTACATGCATAATTTGTGGTTTAGTTTTTAGTGACATTCCTATAGTTTTTGCACCAGCAGCTAACTAGTTGGCAATAAACTAAAACTGGCATGAAGTGATTATTAATTTAATTCTAGAGTTTTGCATTTTGAAATATGCATATCCTTATGTTTGCAGGAATCTCCCCCTTCATTTGAAGAGTGTTTCTAAGAACCAGGTAGACAGCAGCAGAACTGCAGCATCTCTGGAGGTTTCCTCCTCACTGAACTCTGCTGTCACTGGGCAGTGAGATAGCAAAGTGTGTCAGTTCAGCTCATTCGAGATACTGTAGCATTTTTTCCTCTGCAGCAATTGGAAATTCAAAAACTACAAAATCAGTAGCAGCAGCTTTTCCCCCTGTCAGAGTCTAGCATGTATTTTTCACAGTGGCAAGGTTTGAATCTTCATGAGTCTGCTGCTTGTGGCTGTTGCAGTAAAAAATCACTGGAATTTGTGTGTTAGGTTTCAACGTGTCTGTTGCTTGACTCTATACTCTAGGAACTAGAAGATGTGAACAAGTGGGGCCTTCAGGTTTTCAGAGTAGCAGAATTATCTGGAAACAGACCGTTGACAGTCATCATGCACACGATTTTTCAGGCAAGTAACAGCAGCTGTGCTGCTTTTTTCTTATCTTAGATATTTTTCTGTGCTTTGTAATCTTAATTGTTTCTCTTTTCCTTTTCTAGGAACGGGACTTGTTAAAAACATTTAAAATTCCAGTAGACACTTTAATAACTTACTTGATGACGCTAGAAGACCATTACCATGCAGATGTGGCATATCACAATAACATACATGCTGCAGATGTTGTTCAGTCAACCCATGTCCTGCTATCAACCCCAGCATTAGAGGTAAACTACGCTGAGGTGGGAAAGAGGCAGGCAAGAGAGAAAGGGATGTACTAAGACTCTTCTAGACTAAGTATTAAAGAACTTAGTTTCTGTAATAATTTTTAAAAGAAATCTTAACATTTCTTTCATGAATTGCGCTCTTTCAAAGATATTTTGTGAAGACCAAAGCTTATTTACATGTAAATACTGCACAGAAAATGTCACATCTTTTGGTTTTAAATCATGGATTTATACTTGCAGATTTGTGCTGTTGCAACCTTTTTTGTTGTGACGCGGTGCGTAACTTGTTTCCACCATCTCGTTATTAATACTACATCCTGTTCTGCCGTTATTTCCGTAGTGGGATTCTTACTAACCGCAGTTAGTGGAATTGCTTAGGAAAGACAGTGATAAAATGGAATTTCCTTAAAAGGGCTGTTTTGTTTTTTGTTTTTTTCCTTGTGCATATTCATTCTGGTCGTGAAAGGCTACTTTTGTCTTTGTTTCTCAGGCAGAGGTGTACTAACTTTTCACTGGACTATCTGATTTTTTTTTCATAAATATTTCAAAATTGTTTGGAGAAAAATAACATTTCATATGTTCTTTTCTGAAGAATTCTCTTGTTGAAGATGATTAAATTTCTGAAGTAGAAGAAAGTAGAAGAAATAATGGAGATTACTTTCCCTTTTTTAAGCACAGTTCAGGTCTTGGCATAGCAAACATTGATGTATCCCAGTAAATCGTTGGACAAAGGCAGATAAAGCAAGCAGTTGAAATTTTAGTAGTTAAAAATTATTTACCCTCATTTTGAGTGGGCTGCATTTTGACTCTTTTTCATAATGACCAGTGTTTCATGTTACTGAAAGCTGCTGCTTTACCTTCATCTTAACAAGAGGGTTATAAGTGAACCTTAAGACCGTTGGCAGGTCTGGATCCTCAAAGACTTAGGAATTCTCTTGGGAATTCTCTCAGGAAGGAAGATGAGATTATGTTCTTAAATCACCACTGGCTTCACTGAGCAGCTGAACTGGTTGTCAATAGCATTTTTGGATCAACTGTTTTTCATGGCCTTGTTCTCAGCAGAGATTTAGCCAGTAAAACAGCAGTGTCTGCCCGGTGCCACTGCTCACTACTGAGCTGTGCTTGATGAATTTTGAAAGCAATTATATGATGTGGGCCCTTATAAGAACAGGGTACTGGGCTCAGTGCCATGCCAGGTCTATTGCAGTCCTCTCTTACTATCTTGCTAATAATCCCACATGGAAGAAAAATCAGTAGATGTTAAGTAAGATGCCTTGTCACCATTTCCCTTAGTGTCATTTAGGAGATTTGTGTCTTTCAAGTATAGGACAACATGTAGTAGGAGTCAGGCTGAAATTTTTAACTTCAGTTTGTGCTGGAGGTTAGAAACCTGTACATCTAATCTGTACATAATGATCTAATGAAAATGAATTTATTTACAGACTGAAGCTGAAAAAACTTCAGTATGGTATTTAGTGATGCTGTCAATGTGAAGTAAGGGTTGTTTTACTTTTGCCAAACTTGAAATATTTATGAAATTCTACATAATTGACAATTTTACAAAGGGTTGTGATAGCCTATGTGTAAAAACTCTTGAGATCCCTGATACATTTCAGATGTGTTTTGCTTGTTCACATCTAGATTCAAAGTAGAGTCCTTTTTATTGAAAACACTTTTTCATTAATTAGTGATTGTCATTTCTGTTTCATGATTTTCTAGGCAGTGTTCACTGATTTGGAGATTCTTGCAGCAATTTTTGCCAGTGCAATACATGATGTAGATCATCCTGGGGTTTCAAACCAGTTTCTTATCAACACAAGTAAGTTTGCTGTTCAGTGGTTTTCTCAAAAATTTGCTGCAAGATCTGCACATGGCACCTGAAAAATACACGGTTCTTTCCTTGTTTGCTTCTATCTGTACCTTTTCTCAATAAATAGATAGGTGTTTGTATTTTAAACTGGATATTATTTTGCATTTCTGTAACTTCAGAAATAATATACATAGTACCCTCTGGCAAGAATTACTGGGACATAAACTAAAAACATGCCACTGTTTCAACGTATTGGATGTGGTCCTTCCTGGAAATTAGTTAGTTTGCATTAAATAAACAAAGTTGTAGGAGAAAAATGAAGGAAGATTAAAAAAAAGGACAGTTTATGAGTTCATATTGGAAGCATATGATATCACCAATGATAGCCATACGTTTTTAAGAAATTCAACAAACAAGTTTCTTTTTAGCAAACAGACTGACAGGCTCATCTCTGTCTCTCCCCTGTGGTGTACTTTGTTGCTGATCTCAGCATACTTGTGCCTCTTGGGCTGAATTTTATCAAGCTGTCCCTGCAGTCTGTGGCAAACCTTTTATCTTGTTTGTTTGTTTGTTTCTTGTGAGTCTCTTGCTAGCACTCCGTGTATGGAGGAAAAAGCCCTAATGAAATGAGATCCTATTGTCATCTCCAAATTTGAAACCCAGTGTACTTGTTCTGCATTTCTCAAGACTGTTCTCTGCAGCACTGCATGAACCTTTGCCCCCTCTTTCATCTGCTACTAGAAGAAAAACAGTATTAGCTTTGTTGAACCCGATCACGACACATTTAGGAATGGCTTGTTGCCTCAGTGTAACCGGCTTTGATTTCAGTGGCACATGTTACTACTATAAGTGGATAGCGCGTTGTAGGTCAGTGCAAGTTCTGTCACACAATGTTACTTCTTTTGCCATCTGACAACTTCTCCTTTTATGATAACTGACCCAGAAGTGCAGAAGTTGAAATAATACTAATAATCCAAGCACAGAAGAAAAAGCTACAGAAATGGAAATGTACTTAGGGTTGTGTATTTGATCCATCTGGTCGCACATTTAGATACTGTCATTCCTGCACTTGGGTGAATCTACTAGGTGCTAAAATAGTGTGACCCCAGATCAGCAGTGTATTTTGAAGAAGGGAGCTCCTCTTGTGACTCACGGGTGCTGTATGTTCAAATAAGACCTCCACTCCAGTTTAGCCTGCACCTAATTTTATTTGCCTTAATGGGCTGAGGGCTACCCTGTAGTGAAATTCAATTTGATGACTCAGCTGCAGGGAGGAGGGTTGGGATTGACTCTAGATTTCTGGTGCATTATTGGTAACCATTACAGTTCAGCGGCATGGTATAGGAAGAGAGTGAATCAAACTTGGTGCACAAAACAGCATGTAATACCTAAATTCTTAATATTCTCAATAGTGGGCATATATAAGTGAAGTTTTTATTTATTTAATCAGAAATTGAATATCAGGATATATTGGTGGCTCTGAGGTGCTACAGGGAAACCACCGAGTTGTTTGGGTTTAAGCAGGAGGACTAGCTAGTTGGAAGGACCAATAATGATACATAAAGCTTTCACTTTTAGGCAGATAGTTGAAATTCAGCTAAGCTAGGAGTGATTATGATGCTGCTTATTTAATGGCTTGGAAGAAATGTCTTGTTTTTCTCAGTGTAGCTTTTGATAAGGCTTCTGTGTCAATCAAGTAACATCACTAACTGGAACTGCTGTTGCCAGGCTGAAAGAGACACAGGGATTTTATCCCTTTTGAGTTGTTCTGTGTACAAAGATGAAACTGGAGGGACACAGAGAGAGATAAAGACCATCTAATCTAGGTCTCCAATCCTAGTTTTTCTTAACCTCTAGAAGATCATTTGCTTCCACCTACTTTTGTTTTCCACTGAAACTTAAAATTTATTAACATTTCACTGAAAGTATTAAGAATATATTTTTTTAAAAGCATAATAGACTTAGTTACTTAAACTATGTACTTATTTGCCATGTATCAGCTTATTCTTTATAATTCAGATGTGGTATTTCTGAATTTTATTTCCGTGTTTAAGGATTTAAAGTCTATTTGCACAGTTGTCTAAAATTCTGATCCCTCTTGAATCCTATTGAAGAAGAAACTAATATGGATTGTAATACCGTCAGAGGAGATGCTTATTTGGTCATGGTAACTCTGTCCTTGCAGACAAACACTCCTGAAGCTTATAATGTGTTACAGAGATTACTGAAGGGCAACATTCTTCAATTTCCACCTCCATTACAAAGCTGAGCACATTTTAGTTCATTCTGTAGCTCCAGCCCTTCCAAAGTGTTTTGGTAATGTGAGTTGGGGCTCATCAGAAGACTGTTTGAAAGGAAAAGAAACTAGTGCCTGCTGTCTTTGTAAGAAAAATAACAATTAGGCAAGCTTTGTAAATGTTCTGTGAAAGATGAAAGAGAGATCATTTGACAAACTTACTCTCAAAATTTTTCCTTTTGCTGTTATGGTTTTGCTGCCATCGGGATGAGGAAAGGTAGAGAAGGGTTCCCTGATTCAAAAGGTTGATGTATTGAAGACAGGAGAGGACGACGTCAAGAGAATGGATAATGAGACTAATGAAATCTGAAGAGCAGGCACCCGATTGAGCCCGAGGGATTTTAAAACAAAGCTGCTGTAAAACAAGATAGAGAGGACAAAAAGTAGAATAGACTGACGTATGGTTAGATTTAGGCTAAAACAGCTGTAATACGTAGAAGTTAGTATCACACATGACAAGTGTGATTGCATAAAAAGTATTTGTTTTTTATGACAGATTCATTTGCAAGCTGTGTCTTAAAACATATGCAACCTGACTATGCGGTATCCCCGGGTAGAATCTAAAGCTGTGCAGAAAATTATTGTAACTGCTTTTATTTGTCAGAGCTGGCTGTTCCGCCGGTCTAAGCAGACAAATGCTGATCTTGCATGTGTGCCTCAGCAAAGGCATTGCTGGGAAGGTGTATGTTACTCTCTCAGCTAAGACGACTTCTGATAGAGAAGGCAGCATGATGGCATTGGGTGTTGACCATGGTCAAGTACAAGGCACTGTTATAATCACTGTTACCACCCTACCAGCCTCCTCAAAATACACAGTTGTCATGGCCTAATGACCTGTAGGCCTGACTGGCTAGACATCTGAGTGCCTTAGATAACTGCAGAAGGACATGGTTTGAAAACCAAGATATGTGGTCTCTGCCTGACCTGCAGCAAAGCCTCAGCTGTGTATTCCCAGTCTGAGTGCTGCGTAGCTGCAACTTCACTTAAACAATGGAATTTCAGTAGTTGTGATGGGCGGAAGGCATAGAAGAGAAAACATCAAAGTGTGTTTTGGTTTAGGTGTGTTTATGCATATAATATTTTCCATGTAACTTCATGCAAATGTGGAAACTCATTCTGAAGAATACCTTCATTGTATGTTTTCTAGCTCGCCACTGCAGGCACGTGTACATGCTTCATTGCAAAGCTTTTTCTTTATTTTCCTCAACATAGTTTGCCTTGATTTGTTAAGATGTTCAGTCATTAATTCTGTAACTTTTGATATTGTATGAACAATAGGAACTCTGTTTCTAAAAGTTCATCTATAAGTCTTACTATGAACGTAATGGATTTGAAAAATCTTAAGGCACTTGGTAGAAGCACAGACTTTAGTAACGTTCTGCCCTGGGATTGTTATTGCAGATTCTGAACTCGCCTTGATGTACAATGACTCATCAGTACTGGAGAATCATCACTTAGCTGTGGGCTTCAAGCTGCTGCAGGAAGAAAATTGTGACATTTTCCAGAATTTGACCAAAAAACAGAGGCAATCATTGAGGAAAATGGTCATTGACATTGTGAGTTCTGCTTGAGACTCCGTCTTCCATGGTGCTAGCAAATTGAATAGTAAAGCACAGAAGCATTTTATGGTAGATTACATGTCATTAGACCCATAACCAGTGAAGTGAAAGTTTGAGGCTTCATTGTGTCTTATTGAACATGAATAGTGGATTCTTTTCAGTTTCAATAACCATCTATACCTTTTTAGAAGGTATACAATCCTGCTTCAAGCTGTTTTTCATACTGACGTGTACACCATTTCACCATCACAGATAGAAATTTGCTACTGAACTGATGATGAATTTAGGCTGATAAGATCAGTCTGAACAATTCCAAATGATCATTTTGTCATCTTCTTAAAATAACCAAAATGGAAACTTACTGTTTTTGACACTAATGACATACAGGACTCAGACTTTTGTAATAAGTGTTCAGACAGAGGAGGTATGGGTTCCCCCAGAACTGTTTGTTTGTGTTCAAATATTTTTTTTTTTAAATCAGTAGAATAATTTCATTTATGTAAAAGTAATTTATTTGTTTGTTTCTTTCAAGGTACTTGCAACAGACATGTCTAAGCATATGAATCTGTTGGCTGATTTAAAAACTATGGTTGAAACCAAAAAAGTGACCAGTTCTGGTGTCCTGCTTCTTGATAACTATTCAGACAGGATTCAGGTAGGAAAATTCACCTGCAAATGGTCGCTTGTATTAATTTACATCGTTAATAACATTGACCTGCCCATTCTCCAGCATGGGTTAGATCAACTGTCCATTCTCACACCATGACTCAGCATCTTCCCTCTACTCCCTCTTACGTGTCCTACCTGTGACATGCTCTGTTAGGTACTGAGTGACTCTGAGAGAGGAATGAGGTGCCACAGTACTTCTGGACTAAATGAGGCTTTGGCCTTCCCTTCAAGTTATCAGCACCTGATTGGTCTTTCTCTCAAAGAGTTTCTGTCTCTTACACAGGAAGAAGCAGCAGAAGTGAGGTAATTCATGGCTATTACTGCAACTGTGAAAAACACCCAAGCACATAAGTTTTTGCCATTTAGAATATGTCTCGCAGTACATGTATTTTCAGGATTCTGTTTCGCAGCTACAAGAAGTGTAAATGGAAAAGGAGCTGGTTTTGTACAGTGTAACAACACCGTAGGTGTTCAATCTATTTTAGGTTCTTCAGAATATGGTGCACTGTGCAGATCTAAGCAATCCAACCAAGCCACTCCATCTCTACCGCCAATGGACAGACAGAATAATGGAGGAATTTTTCCGTCAGGGAGATCGGGAAAGAGAGAGAGGAATGGAGATAAGTCCCATGTGTGATAAGCACAATGCATCTGTAGAAAAATCACAGGTAATTGATTTGAGTAAGCAGTTGCGTAACACAGTATGACATTTTAACAGAAAAGGATGGTCCATAGCAGTGTTTTGATTAATTTCTGAATGCGCTATTTCCTTTCTTTGCTCCTAATTAATTAATTCAGCTCCTGAGTAGTAAGCAAGGGGAGCTGAGATTTTTACTGTGAAAACATAGTGCATGGCAGTGTGTTTGCTGAAGGGATTCCATCGCTGTCGTGATCTGCAATGAAGCATACGCATTAAAAGAGTTGTACAGCTGCTCATTAAGGTTTCCTTCAAAAGCAGAATTAAATATAAAGCAGCTGTTTGGCTCACTAGATGCAGTGGAGTTGTCTGGAATGAACAGTTCATTTGAAAAAAATCCTTTTGAAGTACTTATCCAATGTCCCGAATCCGACTTTCGAAATGCAAAAGAGATCATATTTGCTACATAAAACAGCATGGTTAACTTTCAGCCACCTTTAGGGGTCGTGCACCTAATGTCTCTTATTAGCGTTACATTTCTCATACTTTGCATGGCTTACAGGCGTAGTTGTTTCTTTGTGAATCAGAGCTCATCCGAATTTTGTATTCCTTGCAACAGGTGGGCTTTATAGACTACATTGTTCATCCTCTGTGGGAGACGTGGGCGGATCTTGTTCACCCGGATGCCCAGGATATCTTAGATACGCTGGAGGACAATCGAGAATGGTACCAGAGCACAATCCCTCAAAGTCCCTCTCCTGCACCTGATGACCCGGAAGAGGGTAGGCAGGGCCAAACTGAAAAATTCCAGTTTGAACTAACACTGGAGGAAGATGGTGAGTCAGACACCGAAAAGGACAGTGGAAGTCAAGTAGAAGAAGACACCAGCTGCAGTGATTCCAAGACTCTTTGCACCCAGGATTCAGAATCCACTGAAATTCCTCTTGATGAGCAAGTAGGGGAAGTAGAAGAGGAGGAGAACCAGGCAGAACCTTGTGTGGTAGAAGACCGTTCGCCTGACACGTAACAGTGAAAACGCAGTCTCTTTCTCTCTTGCCCTCTCCCTTTCTTTTCCTCTTTCTCTCTGTTTTTGGTTTTGTTTTTTTTTTGTTTGTTTTTTTTTCTTAATGGTTTTCCAAAGTTATGTCCTATTTTTGTTTTTTTTTTGTTTGTTTTTATTACTTAATGGTTTCCAAAGTGTATGTCATATGCTACAACCGTGGTCACAACTCGCTGTCATCTGCCAGGATATTTGTTGATCAAAACTGACCTTGATGACTCAGTTTGGCACTCAGGAATATTGTAACCAGAATTTTCACCTCCATGGCATCAGAAAGCAGGGGGGAGAACATCCATAAACTACCTTTTAATAAGCTCTCCATCTGGCAGATCTGATTAAATAAAGGAAGTGTTTTCAGAGGAGTATTGCCTGCCAACTGAATGCTGGTATGCTGTGATAGTTTTTGAATTCATTGTATTTCACAAGCAAAGCATTGGATAATGTTCATCATGAGAGCAAACAGACAGAAAATAAACTGAGGTTCCTACTGGAAAACAAATGCACATAAATGATGGGACAAAACATGATTCTGTTACCAATGGGAAGATGAGCTGTGGAAATTGTGTAGTTTTCTAATTTCAAGTCTTCCTGATATGTGACTGAAAAAAGTGTGACCCAGTGGGTTGCACTAACCTCTGCATTTTGTATAATATGTAAGAGAGAGATCTTTTGTAGAGCTTACTTTTATTATTAAGTGTACCAAGGTATTATATTTAAAGAAAAACACTTTCAGACTTCATCTGCCACTGGTTATTTTTTTTCCAAAGAGTAACTTGCAAGTTTTCAGCACAAATTTGTGCTACACTGGATAATACTTCGAGGTTTTTTTCCTTTCCTTTTTTTTTTTTGCACCTTAGAGTCTCATGGTAATATTGAGCTGTAAAAGTGTATTATTTTATGTATTAGTGAGTTCCATTAGTATCTTTTATGTTACATAAAACTCCTTCAGTGTAATGGCTTTTTTGTTTGTTTTTCATCACAGTTTTCCCAAATGTATTAGAGGAACTTAGATTGTGCTTTTGCCCTCATAGTGGCCTGATCCTGCCAATTCTGTCTTACTAGAAGAAGTGGTCCCAGTGAAACCAACTGGGGCCACTAAGATGAGGATTTGCAGGTGTAGAGCACATAAGAAAGGTAATGTCATCTTAATACAAAAGCGGCTCTTCTGCTATACTGATAAAATTCATCCCTCTGAAAAGTGCTTTCCAGACCATTTTTGGCTGGGAGCTGTCGATTCCTGAATGAGAACCGGACAATGCAATGTATGGAATATTCGTTCCGCTGAAAAAAGCGTTGTTATAATATTTACAATTTTGACTCAATATTTTTTTATCTGTGCTAGCTGTGTAGTTAAACCATTTGCTAATCTGCCATGCATACAACAAAAACAATGATTAGCGTTATTTTTTCGTGTCTTTATGGCAAGAAGAGCCAGGTCAGTCTTTTTATGTTTTTGAGTAAATGAGCAATGCATCATGAGAGTTGTAGTTTACTCCACATTATTTCAATCTCAGATCTTTTCATCCTTTATCCAGATTGTGCTGAGGAAATCCTGCTTTTCAGTTTGATTGGTACCAAAATCTTCTGTGATGTGCATAGTTAAATGGAGGGAGGAGTTCGTATTTGTAATTTTCGAGTCCTGTTGTTTGGTCACATGAAAGAAGAATGAATTATATTTCCTCCACTTTACTCTTCATTAAAATTGTAGTTTTCAGTGTAGAGGATGAGAAATAGTTGCCTAGGGAAGCTGGCAGACTCCCACTCTGTAAAATTCTGGTAAAATGACAATACCAGCATGATTTCTTAACAAAAGAAGGTAGCAACAGCTGTTATTTCCCCTTTGGATTAATTTTCTAGAAGATTTTCAGATAATGAATACAGGGATTTTTTTAGGTGTCTGGTGTCTGGAATAAAAAACTGTTTAAAAATGATTGGCTAATAATTCAGCTTTTAAATACATTTTGCATTCTTCTGTATCCAGGTCTTAGTTTTTTCTACCTTTAGCCCTCACAGGGCCTTAGCATAGAAGATGTGAAGGACGAAAAAGAATGAAGAGAACTTGGGAGTACTTCCATTTTTTAACTTTTTTTTGTTCTTCATCATTTTCTCCTGAACCTGATCCATCTAAAAACCCTTTCAGTCCCCAAGAGTGCCTGGAACCTTAATAACGGAAAAAGCAATATAAATTCCAAAATAACCAGTAGGGACCTGAAAATGTTTTGTATCTGCACTAAGTGAAAGTAGATGAAAAGAATAATACCATATTGTGAGATACACACTGATACATGTGGACAATCAAGTAACAGAAAATTATATCATTTCTTAGAGCCAGGGATATAATGCACTGTACAATCTTTTTTTTCCTATTTTGCCAAAGTGTGTTTTAGCATTGCACACTGTTTTAAAACAATACAATTTACAAGTGGCTTTATGTGTTCTAAATATTTTTGCCATAAGCAAATGTAGTGAGTGGATATTGGGGAAAAAATAAAGTTCACTTTGCTTGTAACAGTACACTTTAGCTTGCAAGTTACTGTACTCAGTAATGTTGTATTTGAATTCTTAAATTTTTTGTTTCAATGTTAAAAAATGATAAAGAATATAGATAGAACAAATAGCATTCAGAAGTTTAAAAAACTTGAATGACACAGATTTTACAGAAAGCTTTGCAGTTCTTTTCGAATGCATTATTTATTTTATTTGTGCCATGCATTTTTCTCACCAAATGACCTTACCTGTAATACAGTCTTGTTTGTCTCTGTTTACAACCATGTATTTATTGTAATGTACATACTGTAATGTTAATTGTAAATTATCAGTTCTTATTATAACATCATCCTTGTCAGGATGGTGTTGTTGTATTTGGAAACTCTTGGTGAGAGAATGATTATTGTGTATACATACTCCTTGTACATTTTTTTCTCCTGTAATATATTCTGTGTCACCTTAGAGCTTGTTTATGGAAGATTCAAGAAAAGTATAAAATACGTGAAGATGTATCAATAAAAAAAGCTGCAGGTCTTTGGTCCCAGGGCTGTGCCTTAACTTTAAACAATATTTTCTTCTGTTTTGCTGCATTTGAAAGTAAGGTAGCTGTGGGGATAGGGCTGGGCATTTCTACCATATTTTTGGTTACTAGCTGATGGGGTTACTTGTATGAGCTAATGTGCGTGAGACTGCAGTGAGCTTTCATTCGTGACCCCACTGGAAGTTCAAGCTTTTCCAAGCTTCTGGCGCTATAGTTGTATTGCCTGTCTGATGATCTTTTTACAGGCTATCATCAGGGATTATTGCAGCCATTTTTTGCTCCTAAAAAAAAATAAATTGATGCTGTATTTCAGTACTGAATTGCACTGAAACACCTTTGGAAAGCATCTCTAATAAGTATTTTATTTTAATGCATACTGGGAAATTGAGTAATTGGAATTAAAAGGGTATAACACATACCCTTTTACAATTGTCTGTAATATCCCTTGTCTATTTAGTAGCAGAAATTATCACTGTATAAACAGAATCCATGAAGTAGAACAAACGACAGCTTTAATCTCGGAAATGCTTTCCAACACCAATGTTAGTGTTGTAAGCAGCCAAAGTTTTATTTTATGGAGATATATCTAAGATTTTCTACAGGTGTGTATAGCATAATGCACTAGATCTACAGGAGAATGGTAAACCTTTAGATCTTTTACTAACACTAGTATTAGGTTTGCAAGTTGGACTGAGCATCTCTTGCCGTTTGAATTGTCATGTTGCTCCAGACTACTTGGACTGATACCAGTGGATTTGCCAGAGCGAGGTAAATACCTCTCCTCCATTCCAGCGATGCCCAGCCCTTGTAGCATATGACTTCTTTGTGAAAGGAGAGATTCTTTTTCAAGGAAAAACAGAGCCTCGTTTTTGACACAAACTGTAGATTTTAGCAGCCCTGGCCCAAAGGAAATTGATTGCTTTTGCTTTAAACGGTGTAAAAGGGACACTATAACAACAGAAATCCTGAACAAGTATTTTGTTTTTGTTTTAATTTGATTTTTCCGTTGGTTATGTCTTGAGAGTGGCAACTTGTGTGAACATTGCACATGACTATTCTTTCACTGGTTTCTTAGCCTCTCTTACAGCCTAGGGGATAGTATTGTACATCAATACCTTCATATGAAATTTTATATGCAATGGAAATAAAAGCATGGGTTGATTCTGCCTAGTTACTGTATTTGATTTTCTTTTGCAAGTTAATTTTTTTTTACATACATCCCATAGTTGTGACACCTGAAGAGAAAGCGTATTTCCAGAATAATTTGATTATCGTATTTTTCTCATCATACTGTTTTACATAGGTAATACAAAATAAATGTGAGGGCAAATCGGAAAAGTCAATCAAATGTGGTATTTCATAAAGAAGACTAATCCACAAAAGTGCTATACAGCTATATATGAAGGTGTTCAGTCTCAGTTTTCAGGAAATTTTACCATGGGCTTCAGTGGCGGAAGCAGCTTGTCTTGAGAAAATAAAACTTCAGCTTTCAAGCAAGTAGAACACTACAGATTGCCTAGAGGAGCAATTTGCTGGGATACCACAAAGAAAAAAGCAGGAGAGTACCATAGTTAAATATTGACCAGACAATCCCAGCTCTAAGTGGATGATAAAAAGAAACTGTTTATTAAAACAAAATTCATGAATGGCAGCTGTTGTCTTGAAGAAGAAATACAGTCTTAACGCAGGTCCAGCTCTTGAAGTGGCTTTCGTGCACCTCTCTCTGATTAGTGAGGATTAGTGAGGATTTTGTTGGGGGGGGTTTTTTGCTTAACTGAAAATAGTTTCCAATTGAATACAAAAAAAATCTGTCTCGATTTTTTCCTTAAGTCTCTTAGATCCTTTTTTGCATTTGGGGTTAGTTCGCAAGGTGTACCAATCCTTAGGACTCCTTTTTAATCACACCCCGGTGGCAGAAGAGGCTAGTAAGTGCTGTGCTGGGAAGATGAAGGATGCTGCACTGGGCACAGCAGGGTGGATAAACCAGGGGTTGTTGGCATCTTTCTCTCAGCAGTCTCATCCTCACATGCTCCCAGTGGCCCTCATGGGAAAATGGTTTGCATACACCATGGCTATTGTGAAGGGCAGCAGGGACCCCAAATTCTGGTTGGCACTACTGAAACCTTTTCAGTAAGGAGCACAGCTACTACATCTGAGCACGTGGCGAGCCTGAAGCTGGCAGGATCAGCCTGCTGCTTCCTGCATGCTCTGGCAGCACTTTGTCAGTCTCTGTGCAC